CTCTGCTTCTGCGCTGATGACATTGCCTTTTAAACAGCATGCCTGACTTCTAAGGAAGACGAGTGATTTCACTGGTTCTACCTAGAGGCACCCGGGAGCGTCCGTATGCTGCAGATGGTGCGAACCTTGGCCCAATTTAGCATCGCTTTGGAGGAGATGAACGAGAACATGGAAAACACAGGGGATGAAGTTGGAGGTGGAGGAGAGGCAGGCGAGGGGGAAGAATCAGCAGATAGGCATGACAATGTTGTGGATCAGTTTCCAAACAACAATAACTGCGGGGGGAATTTGAATGGCAACGGAGTGTGCGCTGGGAGCCCTCCGTCCATTGGAGAGGTATGGCTTTATCTAACCACATTTGTTCCCAAAATATCTTCACTTTTACTGTACTATTCACTTTCTCTGTAATGTAATTTGCTTCTCAGGCATCTCAGTAATGCAGTTAAACCTCCTACCATTTGTATTTAACCTTTCTGACAAGTTTCAATATGTGGCTTTTGGTCAAATTCTCTTTAAGTTCGAAATCATAGCCCTCGTTCATTCGCAGACATAACACAGCTGCCCAAGTTGTAGCACTAATCTTAACACGCAGCATGCTAATCCACGCCAAGTACTGAACTGTATACGAGTGAGAGAGTCCAACAAGTCGGGTGTAAAGCTACTGGGAATATGGCCATCTGCACAGCTTATGTTTGAGGCATTGCCATAGGAATGACATAGTTGTAGCTCACAGTTATCCCCTGGTTATGAAATGTTGGGGAAATCCTATGTGCAAATCTTAGAATGCCATATTTTATTTGTAGAAATATACACACTGTTTGATGTTGCCATTTCAAGAAAAGTATATTTAAGATCAACACACTTAAAGTTGCAACATGACAATCAGTTCCTATTTATTAGCGTTATGTCTGGATGTACTGGGGCATTTTTATATAAGCTCACTATCATTTAATGCATTGATTCTTTATGTTCCTCTAATCATATAATTCTGAATCACTACATGAATTAAATCATTGTCTGTTTAGATCTGTGTTGTAGTTCCCATTAGTCTCCTTAAATGCTTGTGTATGATTCAATAGAAGTGTGTGGAATTCAAAGTTGATGAATGAAAATCATCTCCCCAGAGAAATCAATAGTTCAAAAATAGAAGAATATCGATCCAAGTTAAACCCTGGTCGATGCTGTCTGTGGCCTGGAAGTGACAATTAAATGCAAGTCCACACTCTGTTCTAATCTACATTACATAAGATGAAGTATAGGATGTCTCATGTCTGGCAGTGGAGCAAACTTGAGCTCTGACGGTTTTTGAGGTGGACAAAGGCAGAGGTGATGGAGGGCTAAGAGGATGCCTGTTGCTGCTTTCGCCAGCAGCAGCAGCACCATACAGTTGCCAGGGGAGACAGTCACAGGGGCGAGAGGGGGAGTGCGATGACAGACCTTCGATGAGGAGGCAGGAGTTCGCTCTGAGGCACACGCTCTATGAGGATGTTGTGTTGTTTTTTTTCCTCATGAATCACAAATGCCTGCTGTTGTCTTTGGACTAGCTTGTCATGATGAGAGGGAAATTAAATATTGCTATCATAAAGGTGGGCATATAATGTGGTTGTGCTTTTGTCTTAAAGGTGCATTGTGTGACTTTTGTGGTGGAGGTTATGTCAAATGCTTTTCTCCATGAGGTGTGACTGCTTTGTCTGGAATGTTTCACAGTATGGCATTAAACTTTTCTGTCTTCATGGAGACCAAACCAGACCAAGTTACCGGTCAGATCTGTGGAAAAGCAACTATGCTCACTGACAGAATACCTGTTTTTCTATGACTCATTTAATAAATGCAAGGTAGAGGTGCTTAATGTCACATTGACAGAGCCTCCACCAGAAAAGTTACACAACGCACCTTTAAAATAGATTTCAAACCTTTACATACATAATTTCTATAATAGTTATTTATAAGCATGCTGATGTGCTCCCTGTGTTGGAATAATTCTGCAAGATTTCACTTGATCCAAATAATTGTGATTATGATCTTCCCATAATGAGGCCGCTCTAAATGAATTTCTCACGCAATTCTCAGCATATTTAAACCAGAAGATTTGTTCACTTTGTTTTGATCAAAGTCTCTTCACTGGTATTGTTGGTATTGACTATCTCCAAATGCAATTACTGAATTGGATCTGAAAAGGATAGACCAGTGCATCTTTTCTGCTACCACCATTAAACACATAGGAAGAGACACTCTTTGTCTGTTGTACACCTGGTCTAAGATCTTCCTTGTTATTGCTTTTTTTGTTAGTTATTTTTATTTTTTTCTGCAGTGGTCAACAGAGAAAACTGCAGATTGAGTGCACCTGTGCTGGGAAATTGAAACATTTGTCTAAAAAATACTTTTCACTGTTAAAATTACTATGGCTGTGACAGAAAACATTTCCAGGTAAATTACATTTCAATGCAGAAGCGTACTCATTCAGTGGCCTAAAATGTTTGTCATTTTGATTGGTTCATATAACCTTCAAATACAGTGAGCAATTTAAAACTAAAATCACAGGAATTTGGAATAAAATGCATGCTTGTTTTGGGGTTTGGGGCAGTTTGAGAGTGTTACAACTACAAGCAAGATAGGCCTCCCAAAAGCTACTTGACATGTCCACTTTGTAACTGGGACAGCCATGTAAGGGAGGACAGGCAGAGATCACAGGCACATTTGCTTCTCTTTATGAATACAGGAATGATTTGTTCATTTGGATATTTAACTGGACATAAATATGTTTATCCATATATTCAGCCATACTCCCCCGTGTATCTGAGGGTCGGCATGCTGCTAGGCTACATTTGAAAAAGCATTGCCAGTAATTAGTGTTTTTTAGACATGCTTGCCATGCTTGACGTGCTTGTCATTTTGCCAATTTAAAATGGCCCAAACAACAGTTAATTTGGCTATATTTAATTACAATCAGAAGACGTGTCAATAGATTCGTCTTAATTTCATAATTTTATTTTAATTGAGGATTGCACTTTGTGACCTAACAGGAGTGACTCACTGTAGTATTCCTTTAACATTAAACTTGACTCAGACCTGAGCGTGGACCCAGCTGTTCCTGCGACCTTTCAGCCTCTCCTCTGCAGTTACCATGACGACCATGTTAGCAAAATGAAAGTAGCATTCCTGGCATTATTCGGCCCTGTAAGGTGTGTGTGCACAAGAGACACACACACACACACACACATTGAAATCTAATAAGACTTTGGGCCAAGAACAGGATCATTGGTGTTTTGAGGGAACTTCCAATCTCAATCTGTAAACATGCACCTTTATGCTTTGTGCTGAGGGCAGAAGGTCAGAAAGAGGCTGCTCCGCTCACCTGTGCCTGAGCCAAGTAGTGTTGTTTGTTGAAAATCAGACTGAATGGTTTTGCTAATGAAGTGGTGCCGAGATCGAGAGAGAGCAATGAGAGACTGCAAGTGCATCCTTTAATTCAATCAAGCTTAACAAGGTTTAATTTGGATGATGATTTCTTGCTCAGCTATGGTGTTTAGAGGATAGTACTCTAAAGATGGGCTAGCACAGTGGTCAAAGAAGAAAATATATCATAAATATTGTTTCTCCTGCATGTTTATATCAGAAATAATACAACTTTTATGTGCTAATTAAGAGGTATGGCTTCCCTTCAATACCCACAGTACTAGAATAAATCTATCAATTTTAATTAAGAACATACGTGCAGACACATGACTCATTACTCAGAGATACCATTGTTCTACGTCATGTGTGACTCCATCTGTACAGTTATATTAGGCCTAATTTCCTGAAGTTATTTGAGCAAATTCATACTGTTATCAGAATATGTTAACTAATGTGCTTATCTTTGTTGGACACGGTGGCTTTGTTGAAATGGTCACCAAAAATCTGATCATCGTCTGATTTCTGAAAGAGTTAAAATTCATTGTACTTTGAGCTCATTTTAATTTTAGTAGATCGAAGACAATCTGCCAAGTCGGGCTCATTTACATACTTTAATGTTAATTAATGTGCAATGTCTTTTTTCAAATGTACAATAGTTTCTCTAAAAAAAACACTAATGAACTGATACATGTCCCCTGGTGCTTTTAATGGTCAGATTTTTCTCAGGCATGTAACACACACCTATAATCCCTTTTCATTAATGGGTTAGCTGATTTTTGTGGGCCATGTAAAAGAACCATGACAGTGGACTATGCATTTTTAAATTCAAGCATATTTGTACAAAATAAAATGCCCCATCTCCCTGCATTTCCCATGCTCTGACATAATTCAGTGTGACTGTGACATAGACTCCTCCACACGGCACCTTTCACCCTGCGGTGGTACCCCACAGAGCCCGGGGGACGCCACAAACTAAACATGGCCTTTCTGGGAACTTATTGTTTTGGTTATTTATAGGGCAGATAGCTGCTGGCAGAGCCAGGAGAGGGACAAGAAGGCTCCTCTGTGAGTTACTGCGTTCTGTGTGTGTGAGAGAGGGACAGTGGTGGTTCAACACACACAGGGACTGATATTTAAGACCAGTGTGGCATAGGACTATTTAAAGAGGACCTCTAGAGATGGGTTTTATTTTAGCATTTTATTAGAAAGAAATTATGTAACTTTGGATGTTTGCTCACTCCACTACATTTCATAGTAATCTTTGATATATATTTATGAATCAAAGCTTTGTGCAACCTATCAAGGAAATAAAGTTAAGCAAACAGATCAACGAATCAACTAATACCTCTTCAATTTACACTTTAAAACAAGAACAGGGCATCAATGTGCTGAATGTTGAGCAAACCAAATTAGTTTTAAAGTGCATAAAAGTTACATAGACCTAATCCTTTTATTAATGTGTTTTTTGTTAACAAACTTTCTATGCAGCTATACTGTTAAGCAATGAAAAGCTTTTCAGTGACTTATTTTAACCTCTCACAATTCGCTGTGCTTTAGAACACAAAGTAACAGTTTATTTTTTCTCTCTCCCTTTGTCATTCAAGGACATGAGAAAACATGTAATGATGACTCTCTTGGACACCGAACAGTCATACGTGGAGTCACTGCGTACTCTCATCCAGGTAAGACAACTTCCCTCCTGAAGTGCCTATGGCAGGTTAGACTACTAATTTCACTAAAACACAGCCAAGATCATTATCTTTAAGATTTCTGCAGAAACATTCACACTCATTTTCACAATTTGGCCATTTTTACGTTTACAATTTTACTTTTATGGAAAATCTCTTCTACGATACACAGATACACATTATGAGCTGACAAATACAAATATAAGAAAACACTTATTTTATTGAAGTCATGTTCAAAATTTCAGAAAAAGTGTGTTTCTTATGTGTAAAATGATCCCAACTTTTGTATAGAATTTTCCCTGGTGTGATGTCCTTAGTGCATGAACTCTGCTTCCTGTAATTTTTCACACATTTTTTTCAACTTTTCTTCACAAATTGCTTCTTGGTTGGTATAAAACTATCATTTATTTATATTTACAGTATAATCCCACTAAATGAAGTCAAAATCAGATAATCATAAAAATCTCTCATATGCACTTTTACAAAGCATAGACTGAAACACCAGGGCATTGTACAACGTGCCTGGTATTCTAAGTGAGAGGCAGTCACTTGCACTGTCTGCCCGTGATGCATTGCTCAGGATGTGAAGAGCAAACACTGGGCAACACTGCAGTTATGTAATCCACTTATTGTTATTCATCTTGTAAGGCTAATCTTTTAAAGCTCCCTTGTATCACACAGGCTTCGGCATGAAAAGCACACACAGACATAAGCAGGCTATTTATAATCTACCACACTAATTTTATATTTCATTCTGTACGTTTGGACATTTCTCAATTTTTTGTCTGCTTAATACTCATAAAAATAAGTTGTCGAGTTGATGGGCCACACACATACACATTATACAAATTCTCACACAGACACATTGGGAAAACTTACATTAATTTACTGGAGAATGATCCTAAAATTGACCTAAATCTAAACATGAATCTATTTTAACACATAATTTAACTTAAATTAATGTTGTTGATCTAATAATAAAAGATTTTTGCAACAGCGTGCTAAGGTAAAAGTGGGATTTAAACCTCCAACCCTCTGGTAAGTGGGTGAACAGCTGTACCTTGAAAGCAGCTATTGCACAAAACTGATAATTAGGCTCTGGAGGCCATACATCATGTTTTAACAGCAATATGTCAGTCTGTTGGGTTTTTGCTTTTGGTCACCACTGCATATCTTATTTGTTAATATTATTCACAGTTCTTCCCACCTCTGATCACCACAGTTGTATAATCCATCACTATTCCCTGTGTGGGCGATCTCTGCACTGGGGTTGAATTAGAATACATTTGTTAAGGTGCAGCTTTTTGGCCTCCTCCCTCCTGTAAATGCATGTGAATCAAAATATGCAATATCTACGCGTGTCCACAATGTGTGCGATGCTGCTGTGCGTTCCCATGGCGACACGGAGAAAGTGTTACCACGGCGACGGCAGCGAAAGTGCAGATGCCCGATGGAAGGTGTTGGATATGGTCATAGGCCTCCTCTGTAATCCAAATCAAGACGATGATGATATAATTGTTGCTTTAGAAAGTTTTTCCGTACAAGCGTTTAAGATTTCACTAATTTTGCTTAAAAACTTGTGATTCTCAATAGTGGGTGGAACAATTTAAGATGAACATGAATGATGCAAACTTCAAAATGTCTAAAAAGTGACTCAGAGACAAGATCTGCCTACCACCTGGACTTTTTGTACCAGATGAGTCTGAGAAATAAGTGCATCATTCTTCAGACTGCATTTTCACTGTATTCTTCCTACCAGTCAACACAGAAGTCAGTTTAGGTTAGTAGAGGGTCTGTCAGCTCCTTGTTTCTATGGATTGCTCTGCCTGAAATGTTCCACAGTATGACATTAAACAACTCTTCTGTACATTTATTCAATTACAGGTGTTATTATAGCTCAATAATACCTAGAAAAACAGGTATTGTGACTGTGAAAAGGGTCTCCACAGATCCGACCTGTAACTTGGTCTGGTTTTGGTCTCCATGAAGATCAAAAGGTTTAATACCATACGGTGAAACATTCCAGACAAATCAATAACATCTCCATGGAGAAATGCATTTAACGGACCCACATCAATGCACCTTTGCTTGCCGTGCTCTTCTTCAGCTCAGCGTGTGGTCATTCACAAAGCAACCGAATAGCATACTTTTCTCTTATCAGTTTGAAATCATTTACAAACTGGTGATTAATATTTGATCACGGTTTGTTCTGTTTTGTCCAGGGCTACATGCGTCCTCTCAAACAGCCTGACAGTGGCTCCATCGTGGACCCCTTGCTGGTGGACGAAATGTTCTACCAAATCCCAGAAATCCTTGAGCACCATGAGCACTTCCTGGATCAGGTCTCTGACTGTGTAAACCAGTGGCACGACAGGCAGACTGTTGGACATCTCCTCATCCATTCAGTGAGTATAGAGCACAAAAGAAGTATTCTGTTCTGCCAGCCTTAGCCTTAGACAAATATATTGATCCACAAAGGAGATTATATGGACACAGTAGCTCTCACATCACAATATATTATAATAACAAAGACGAAGTAGTGATTGACAGGACATAGGGTTATCTGTTACATAAGGGTTAGTTATTGTACAGTTGTATGGAGTATGGTATAAATATAGTCCTCTATCTGTTTGAAGGGAGCTCTTTGAGAATAAGCTCATCTGTCCCTCTATAGCAGGGGTGTCGAACTCATTTTGGTCTGGGGGCCGTATCCAACCGACTTTGATCTCAAAGGGGCCGGATCAGAAAACTTATGTCATATATACCCCAAAAATAACAATAAGTTCAAATATTTGTGCAGAGAAACACAAATCTATTACAGAAATCTTTTTTAATTGATGAACTATATAAATAAAATATTTTATCAGTAATCTAAAAACTATTTATTTTTGGCATAATTCCCTTATCATGGATAGCCACCTAACACAGAAATGTTAATCCCTTTTTCTCTACAGCAGGCATGCTCTGAGAAAAGGGGAATCATTTCTGACAGTAGCAGGGCAGGCTTAAGTGGACTAAAGTCCCTTTTTAAGATGTTCTATTGATGGCAACATCAGTTTAATGTATCATGCTTTTCCTTGCTTGCCCTCTTTGAAACTTCCCACGGCCTATGGGTACATCTTGGATTGGAGTCAGATCTTTCTACAACCGTGTGGAGAAACAAACAAAGAATGGATTATGTAGACTTCTGATAGCTCTAGACTGAGTGCTATTGTGTGTTCTGTTGTTGAAAAGCTTAAAAGCACATTCCTACTTTTTGTTTACTGACAAAGGCACTTTCTGATTCAGAAACTCCAGTCCTGATTTTCCTACTTGCTGAAGAGCTTTTTCTCACAGCTCTTTGGCCCTTCCCCCGCTGCAGCTCTTAAAGGGACTGCAGGGGGAGCACTTTTCAGGCCTCGTTGGCGCAGTAGGCAGCGCGTCAGTCTCATAATCTGAAGGTCGTGAGTTCGAGCCTCACACGGGGCAAGTCTTTTGCTCTTGAGGATCTCTTTCCACTGTATTTAAAGTCTAGGCAATATGTATAAGATCAAAACAAAATTAGCGGTTTAAATTGTAGATAAATCCAGACATGGCTTCTGACTGAAATGTAAAAGAAGATAGAGACAAATAATATGGCAAATTTAGTCACATTTTAAAGAAATGTACAATTGTTTACCACTATTACTTAGTTGTTCTTCTGAAATAAACATGTAATTAATCAAATAAACATAAAAACAAATCTCAGAATTTCCCTGTAGGCCAGTTCCTTGACTGGGTGTGTGCTTTCATCAGACGACCTGTAGATGGCACTTTCAAGCTTTCACATACCTTTGTTATGTTTGAATTGGCCTACATACACAAATAGGTCTGCGTAAAGTTCAAAGCCAATCTACGCTGTTTGAGCATTTTATGTTTTGAATCAGTTATCTGGTTATTTATGTTGTCACAATCCATTTAGCGAGTTTAGATTATATCATTTGGTGGGCATTCACTATTGTGTGGCAGTTTTAGTTCACATATTTTGCATACCATTGGAAAGTATGCATATTTCCAATTTATAATAATACTTATCACACTGTATTGCATAAATAAAAAAATAAATATTTTGTTTTTGCAGTTTTCCAAAGAAGACTTGGCTAATATGTATTCTGCATACATCGACAATTTCCTCAATGCCAAAGACGCAGTGAGGATTGCCAAGGAGGCCAAGCCAGCGTTTCACAAGTTTTTGGAGGTGAGAGTGATGTGCTGTTTACTCAGAGCTGGTGCTTTTGTCAGTGCCTATACGACAAAGAGTTTTCCTGGAAAGAGACACTACTGGACAGTGCAATGGAGCTAAACGGTCCCAACAACTCTGAAGTCTGCTCTGGTTTCTAAGTCCAAAAAGAATGTTTAATATGCAAGATAATGACTGGGCAGTTTATAAAGTTTCAGAAAAAGATATTATATAAAATTATTGGTCTTGCTGTCTTTAGTTACCACAAAGCTGACTGGCTCTGACCAGGCTTTCAATCTTTTTTTTTTTTTCTATGGGTCTATGAGATAATTGAACGGCTGGTCACTGTTGAGCTCCATGCATAAATAAGGGAATGTCAAAGTCATAGCTGCAAACAGTGTATGTTGGGGGTCATTCAAAAATATATTATGGTAATACATTATAATTACTACACTTTTGAGTATGTACTTAGTTACCTTATACTTTAATTCTTAACCCCTTAAGTAGTTACTGAGCCTGAAGCACTCTTAATAAACTATTTGTTTATTATGAATTAAGTTTTTCTTCATGCTTTAGTATGGCTAATTAAAGTTTAGTCATTATAAAGTGTAATTGATAATACTTTGTGTAAAAGATAGAGTTTATTTTTAAACTCATATCCTTTGAGTTTTTTTGTTTCTTTTTGTACTTTTCCTCTGATAGTAGTTATTTTAACTATTCTACTTTTGTCTCATAAATCATAGCAAAACATGCGAGAGAACAAAGAGAAACAAGCCTTAGGTGATTTGATGATCAAGCCAGTTCAGAGGATTCCTCGATATGAACTCATAGTGAAGGTAAGCCAATTTTACATTGTCACACAAAAATTACTTAAAAATTCCTATAAAACATGTGCAGTTCAGTTTCAGCATGACTAAGGCCATATTCTGTCATATTGAATTGTTTTATAGGACTTACTAAAGCACACCCCAGAAGATCACCCTGATCACCCCTACCTACTGGACGCACAAAGGGACATCAAGCGATTGGCAGAGAAGATCAACAAGGGCCGACGGTCAGCAGAGGAGGCAGAGAGGGAGGCCAGGGTCATCCAGGAGATTGAGGCACACATTGAAGGAGTGGAAAATGTAGGATTATTAACATTACTGTGTATATGGATTCACCACCCTCTCAAATTCTTAAAATCCCAAACATAATTTATTATCATTTAAGGATAGTCAGCAATGTCTCTGATTTCTGCCCTCTGGGACTGTGACTGATCTTGTACCATTGTTATGTATGTGTATATTAGATCCTGAATCCTCAGAGGAAGTTCTTGAGACAGGAAATTGTCATGGAAGCGGTAAGATATTTTTTATGGTAGTTATTACGTAATTATGAACAAGAAAGTTATGATTGTCTTATATCTTTACCAAACTGTGTTGACTTGTGTCTTCTGTCTGAGCAGAAAAACGTTGGTGGGAAGAAGGACCGCTCTCTCTTCCTCTTCAGTGATCTGATCATTTGCACCACCCTCAAGAGGAAGTCTGGCTCGTTAAGACGCAGTTCCATGAGCCTGTATGCTTCACACACACACAGCCCTGCCACAGTCTCAGTCACTGATAGAAAACAGGCCCAAGTCAAATCTCAACAATAATCATGACCAACTGCATAAACAGATAAATCACACTCATATTAGCCATGTATATTTCTATTGTTATGCTATGTTTAAGGGTAAATATTTAGTACACATTAGTATTTCCTTTATTCTTATTCTTATCCTGCCTGAGAATACAAGCTAATTTGCAAACTTAACACTGGCATCATCTTGTGTCACAAATGTAATAACTTTTTGCTACTTGTCTAAAAGCCTGTATTGTAAAACAGAACTTTATCTAAAGCTACATAACTCGTGTTTGTATGAACCAACCTATGCTGCCCTCTTGTGTTAAAGCTGGGAATTTCTGGTTTGTTTTCAGATACTCTGCTGCTAGTGTGATAGATACATCCAGTAAATACAAGTTCCTGTGGAAGCTTCCTCTTGAGGATGTGGAGGTTGTGAAAAGTAAGCGCTTACAAACTTGTTTTTAGACAAGGTTTTAATATACATTTATGTAAGTGGGTTTTATAAACCTGTTTGTTGTGTTGTAAGGCTCCGCACAGACAACAAACAGGGAGAATATCCAGAAGAGTATTAGTCGATTGGATGAGGACCTCAGCACAGTGGGACAGCTCAGCAAGATGTCTGATACAATCAACTTTCCACATCAGGTATAGCACTAGCCTCATTTTCATTGTTTCCTTAAAGGTGCAATGGGTAAATTTTCTGGTGAAGAGTCCACTACCTGCTTTTCTCCATGGATATCTTATAAATTACATGGGATATTCCGCATTATCGCATTCGGTGTAGCCGTCTTCATGGAGTTACAGGTTTGATTTATAGATTAGACGACTCCACTCAGCATTTAGATATGTTTGAGAAATATGCTACAAGCTCCCGAAATAAAAAAAAAGTGAGATGGATGCTTTTAAAAACTTTAAGCAAATGCATGACAACTAACAAAATTGACATATCAGAACATTCCTTTAGTGTGCTTTCATCTGATTGACCTTTTTGATAATGATTATTATCTCTTTAACAGCACAACATATGACACCACTTTGTTCATATATTTTCCACTCATGTTTGCTGAAATCTGCTTTGAAACACTATTTCTTAACTCTTTTACAAATAAACAAATATGTATTAAGATTTATAATTATCACATGTGTTACAATAAAAGTCTTATATGTGTCTTACAGGCTTTGGATGAGGCGATTAAAGACCTCTCGGCTTCAATCCACAGAGAACTGTCAGAGAAGCAGTCATTGGCCTTCAGTATGACCTTCCTCCCCACAAAGTTGGAACTGACCACATCCTCTGCCGAAAGTAGCTTTGTCTTTGAATTCAGCTCTCCTGACGCTCGCTCCAACTTTGAGCAAGCTTTCGAGGAAGCCAAGAAGAAGCTAGGTATGGAAACGCAACGTAATTAACTATAGGATTCTTAATCGGGTTTTAATAAGGCAAATAAAATGTTCTTCTCATCTATTGTTAGCCATGAATAAGGACCAGTGGGACCCAGAGTTTTTAAAGGCAATACCTATTATGAAGACACGCAGTGGGATGCAGGTAAGAATGACTTTTGAACGGCAGTAAATGTATACAGTATGTACACATTTTTAAAAATATATTTACATTCTTTTTGGTTCAGTTTTCCTGTGCGTCTCCAAGTCACAGCTGTCCGGATAGTGGCTGTGAAGTATGGGTGTGTAATAGTGATGGTTATGTGGGACAGGTAAGAAAATAAACATTTTACACATAAACATTTTATTTTTTGCAAATGTAATGACAGTTATTTATTTGTCCTTTAGGTTTGTCTGTTAAATATCAAAGATGAGCCAACTGTAGAGGCCTGTATCGCTGTGTGTTCAGCCAGGATCATTTGCATTGCGGCTGTACCAGGACTGAAGGCCAGGTAGATAGACCCTTGAGTGAGATACGTAATGCTTCTTATAGTTTTGATATTAAATAAATGTGTTTTCTTTCCAGGGAGCAAGGATTAGAGCGATCGCAACCTCCGGGAGCCCCAAGTCAAACCCAGCAGCAGCAGCTTCATATCTCCATCTCTCATTCATCTCTTGAGATGACAGAGCCACCTACAGGTAAGTGTAGGAAATTACACAGTATAGGAAATTACACTTTGAATTTTTTACATGAATTGTGTTTTTGCATTCATCAAAATCATCCCTTTCATTTTATCATCTTATGTAATTCCCATCTAATATGAGATGTCTCAGGGCTGACAAGTGATTGATGTTTGCAGGTCCTGGAACAGAGCTTGTTCCCTTTGACAGTGATGACACTGATGATGAAGATTCACCGAGCCCCTCTTCAACTCTCCAGAGTCAAGCCAGCCACTCTACTATTTCTTCTAGCTTTGGCAGTAAGTTGCACCACTCATGGACATCTCATATTTAAAGACACATTGCAAGAGAAGCCTAAATCTGATCTTTACCTTGTCTTTCTGAAGTTGATGAAGGCACTAGCTCCAAAGACATGGTGACAGAGACCACGAGTAGTGAGGAGGAGCAGGAGTTCCCCACTGCGGGCTCATATGGGACCTCCGGGATGTTGGGGGTGGGGGTAGGGAGTCGTGCCCAGGCAGAGAGTCCGATGGATGGACGCGCCATGCGCCGCTCCTCTAGAGGCTCCTTCACCAGAGCCAGTCTGGAGGACCTGCTCAGCATCGACCCAGAGGCCTACAAGAGCTCAGTGTGGCTGGGCACAGAGGATGGATGGTGTGAAATAAAAAAAAAAAAAATCATATTAAATGCTCTTATTTTCATGTAACTTTAATTAGAGCTTGTGTTCTTTGATCTCTTAGCATCCACGTGTACCAGTCATCAGACAACATCCGCAACCGAAAGAACAGCATGAAGATGCAGCACTCTGCTTCAATCCTCTGTATACTGTGAGTCATACAATAATGCCACATTACAATTACATACAATACACATTACAATTGCCTCATTTTTATGTAGAAATGTCAAGTGTTTTATGTATTTTTATTTATTGATTTTTTTTTTTTTTTTACTTTTTTTACTGTCTTAGATATTTGGACAACAAAGTATTTGTGTCATTGGCTAATGGGGAAGTGATAGTGTATCAAAGAGAAGCAGGTAGGTATCAAAATTGGCTGAGTTTAAATACTAAATAAATGCCATCATTTTGGTACATCCTTTATTTTCAGGGAGCTTCTGGGACCCACAGTCTTCTCAAACCTTAGCTTTGGGCACAGCCAATAGCCCTGTCACTAAGATGGTTCCTGTGGGAGGAAAGCTGTGGTGTGGTTCGCAGAATAGAGTCCTCATTATCAACACTGCCACTCTTGTACAAGAGGTGTGTGGCAGAACATCTGCATTATATTACCACATGGCCCCGCTGAGGGAGTGGTGCTGAACTGCTCTGTTTTCCTTGGCAGCACTCTTTCCAGGTGGGCACAGACAGCAGCCGCTGTGTCACCTGCATGGTGGCCTATGGGCACGGTGTGTGGCTGGCATTACAGGGCAGTGCACAGGTCAGACTGTACCATGCTCAGACCTGGGATGCCCTCACAGAAGTGGATGTTGCTCCTGCTGTGCACAAGATGCTTGCAGGTAAATATCTGGCAAAGCAAAATGCTCTGTACAACATTACTTATAATAATATGTTGTAATAAATGCTGTGTCCATCACATTTCTCAGGAGCTGATGCGATCATAAGGCAGCATAAAGCTGCATGTCTAAGGATCACAGCTCTGCTTGCCTGTAAAGATCTGCTTTGGATTGGCACTAGTGCAGGTAAGTCATGCACACGTGTCTGACATGGGACTGGAACATGTTTGTACTGACTGGCTGAAAAGCTAAAATCCATTTGTCCCTTTCTCTGCAGGTGTAGTGCTCACTCTCGCAATCCCCAAAGTGAGCTCAGGGACAGGGCCAGGCACTCTGAAGTTCCCCCTGGTTCCCATGGGCTCAGCTCACGGACACACAGGTCATGTTCGTTTCCTTACTGCTATAGAACTACCAGAGGGGTTCGACATGAACTTTCCTCCACTTTCAAACGACTCCACAGGTTTGTAGAGACATACTGTGATTAAAGCATAAGTCAATATTGGTACTTTTTCATGTTTTTCTGTTTTTCCAGTTACCAAAGCACCAAATGCCAGTGTTGTGGACAGCCCTCTGCAGAGGCGGGACTCTGCTCGGCGGAGGGCTTCAGGTCACCTCGTCCCAAAGAACAATCACTTAGTCATCTCTGGGGGAGACGGTTATGAGGACTTCAGACTGACTAACAGCAGTGAGACAGTGGGGCGGGACGACAGTACCAACCACCTACTGCTGTGGAGAGTCTGAGGCTGCTGAGCTTAAAACACTGCACACCAGACGCTATGGTGTTTTTGCCTCTAATGCCTGATCCCACCTCTTAGGATCAACTAAAAAGAAACGGACAACAAACTAGCTCTTGTGTGTTGAACTGGTGTGAGCTGTACGTCACTGGCTGCTGTTTGTGCATGTGCGTTTCTCCCTTCTCATCACCCAGTCTGAAAAAGTGTCAGTGAACCCAGCGAGACACAGAAGAGGACAGAGAAGGGAATTTTCGGACAGAAGGACGGACACATGTGATGCGTGACCTCATCACTGTATATGAACAAAAAGGCACTAACTATGGCAGCGTGTGTTGTACTCTTGCGTTCATTGTGCAACGTTTACATCTGCTTGCAGTTAATGCATTAGAAAAAAAGGTCTTAAAGCTGATCAGAGGGGTAAATGTGAAATTGTTGGCCTCTTGATGTAGTTTTTACTGCTCATTTAGCTATGACCATCCTTTTCATGTTGAGAAAGATGTTTGTAAGGGCATCACTGAAGTGCAATACGTGGCAAGAATATTGAATACATATAACAATAACATATACAAAAACATGAGTTCACACGCCACTCACTGATTTCCCTTGACATAGCCACACTGCTGGAGTTCACTAGAAGTGCATTCATCCCTAAGTCATTATGCCAAAGCCTTGTACATGAAAAAGTAATGACACTAAGGGACTTTATAGTGTTGGTTTGTTTGTATGCTGTCAGGAGGGAAAGCCAAACTGATTTTGGCAACTTCTTGCAGGCTGGTAAACAGATGAAGCGCAGCTGTGGTAGCAGAGATATGTACAGTATTTATGTGTCTTTTGATTTTAGCTTTTTTGTTTATTTTTTCACAGCACTTAATTTATAGATGATGTAGCTTTAACAATTCATGGCTTTCTAAGTTGAAGAACAAGCAGTGAGAATGTACTGTAGGTTTGGTACGACCCATACAGGGTACATGGTGTGGTGTACACTTTCTGAAGATAAAGATAAATATAACTGCTTCTTTTATGACTGCTCATCAGCTACAACACATAGTAGATGAGAATGTGCATCTCACCCAAACATTGACCCTGTCACAATGGTAAAAATATATATTTTCAATGGTAATCAATCACTGACATGTATTTTTAAAATCTAGAATCTATGAATTGCCATCAACACCAATATATTGTAATTACAATTAATTGTTGTTCATATACTGTGTTTGCATTCTTTTATTTCGTGACCTGTTAATTGAAAAAAATAAGATAATCACTTTTACTTGCCAACACCCCCCTGAACCCATCAATCATTCATAAATAACAATCTGTCAAGTCTAAAAAAAATGTTTTGTGAACACTAGATTAGTGCATATCAAACTGAAGTATTTATTATTTCTGTGACAGAAGTAGGAGTGACGTAGAGTGTTGCACGATCAGCAAGTGTAAGTGTGATTAGTGGGTCATAAGGACAAATGTGCCTGCACGTGCCTCTGCAGGCTTAAGCCCCAGCTCACAACAACATAGTGAAAAGTCACACACCGGACGCCCTTGGTCTGGGGTTAAGCACTGATTGTGTTCGATCTTTGAGCCATCTGCGCTCCTCACTTTGCATTAGTGATTCTGGACCTATAAGAGGATCAGTCAGGTGTGGTCAAACTGTGTTCTGCTGTCTGTAGCATGTGGATATAGGAGGTCTACAGTAATGTGTGGTAGCAGAGCAGGTGAATTTGTACCATTAAAAATATAGGCTGAATATAAAAGCAGCATAGTGTGTGAAAGGGTTGCTCTCTCTTTAGTATTGACTATCACTGAACATCGAGTTTGATAGTAGCCCCAGGTTTTTGCTTATTTTTGTTTTACCACCTTTATGACTAATGTCAAGCCAGTTATGTTATGTAATTATCTCAACATTTAACAATTATTTACATTTAAAGTAGGTAACCAACCTATTGCCTGTATTCTGTTTCAACCCCCAATCTGGGACAACTGCTCTAAAGGTACTTACAGCTGGGCTTTTAGTGAGCACTGGCAGACACCATTTTAAAATCATTTATTCATTTAATGGTTGTCCATTATATTACTAAATGTGCAATTTAGAAGATTTAGTTAATAACAAATTGCCTTATTTTTGTTCTTGTGTTATATTTTCCATACTCGGTTATGGACTTAGACATACTATTGCATGGCTTCAATCACTGTGGATACAAGCTACTTAAAAATGAAAGAAAAAGCATTTCAAGTGCCACATAAACTTTTGTTTTTAAATTTTATTCCTACCACCACGTTCCCTAGTAACACTGTAATCTCGTCATGCCTGTATGTGAATTTTATGTTGTAAATACTGGTATATATTGCCTTTTTTCTGTAAATAGAGCACCTCCAGTCCTCAATTGTTGATACGAATCTAATGGCATATTTTTATATATTTGTGTATGGTTTTGTTTATTTTTGTTTGTTATTTCTTTTATGGCACGTGCTGACAAGAAGAATCTTTGCTGTTTTCACTGGCCTCCATGTTTGCCTTGTTCTGTTATTGTGTCGACGGGGGGAAGAGAAAATGACCGCTCCTGCACTGCTCCGGATTTGAGAATTGTTCGGCTCTGGTTGCCATGGTTACGGAGCCACTTACTGTATGTAACTTGTTTTGTCACTGTGGGTTCCTCTTTGTAATTAAACTGTTTCACTGGTGCCAGATTGTATTTTCCTTGTGTTTTTAGACATGTATAACAACATTTTCCATGGGCTGCAGAAGGATGATGACTTTTGCAGCTGTAACACATTTAGCTTGTAATCACAGGGCATCACAAAAGTCTATACTGCCCAAGTGCCTATAGTTCAAAACTGAGCTGGAGGACAGATTAGTTGTCATGGTATATGGTTATAAATAGTCTATTATATTAAATGTAATTACAGGGCCTATCCACGTCTCATACTTTAACGTCTTCTCTGTTAAAATGTTTTTGCTTTTATGTATACTTTCTCAATACCTTCAGAGTGAGGTGCCATTATTCAACTCCAAATATGTGATTGTTTGCAGCTGAAGAGATTTATAATCTTAGTAAAGACCAGTTTGTGGAGCCAATTCCTGAAATAAGTTTCAACAACTGTGAATTTTCATTTTGGATATTTCTTTCAAAGACAGTAAATCTCCCTTATGTTCAATGTTCTTATACATCCCACAATTTTTGTCTGTTGTTTCCAGTTCTTAAACTACAGATGAATTGCAAGATAGGGGCCCTCAAATGTCTATATGTGCATTTATTATACAGAGAACATATAGTGCAGGTCCACCAGGATTTTGATTTATGCATTTATTTTGGGCAAGTAAGAAATGTAATTTTTTTTTTTTTTACAATTTAACACATAACATTAATGAAAACATAGCAGAAATAACAACAACAACAGATAAATAAAAATAAAAAGTTGGCCCAAAAAGGTGTGGGAAGAAAACTTATTTAATCCCACCCCCTTCTTCGAATCTAACACAATGAGCTTTCTTTCGAATTTTTCAGACATTTTACATTAAACTATATGAACTATTTACAAGTGCGGACAAAGAGTCACTGTTATAGTTTGGTAGCATAACTGTATTGCAATAATACATACCAGGATACCAACAATGGTAAGGAAAATTAAGATACCAACAATGGTAAGGAAACAACAAACATAAACCAGCACTACAGAGGCAGTATTGTTCTAAAATTAAGACCCACTCTCTATATACTGTGACCAGACCATATGCTTTTATGTTTATAACGACTTGAATTTATGGATGTATTTTGGCATTGCTTGAGATGTGTATCCAGGCTGTTCCAAAGTTTTACACCACATATAGACACACAGAAACTTTTACGGGTAGGGATTGATTGTACCCAGGGCCCAGAATTGTGTGCAACAGCCCTGGTCAAGAAGTCTGTATCCAGTGTTAGACCTGCATCTAAATGTGAGTGATGAATGCTTTCTAAATGATCACCTGTTTCAAACCACAAATCACCACAAAATGTGAAACTCTTACGAACAACATCAAACAAATCTTGCCACTCTTTATACTAAGCTTTGTAAAACAGTCCTTGTTTTGAGTTCAAGTCCAACCAAATAAACAATGAAATGTAACTGAATGGCATCAACTACAACCACATGAGAAATTTCACTGAAATTCATCTTTCATCTTCTTTCATCTCTCTTTTCAATAAACCTAGATTTGTTACTGACACAGTTTCCAGCATGGTTTCCACCCACTGACCCACAATGAAGTGTATTGAGATATGATCACCCCACACTGAATAAAGTCAACCTCTGAGAATGGCCCCATTGAAGACACCCAACCATGTCCTCATTCATGAACACACAGCATTTGAGCCCACTAATGTCCACTCAGTATGTAAATGTGATGGACCATGGAGCTCTCTCATTCTGTGATTTAATTAGAGGACAGTCAGCTGCGTCTTAGTCAATGGTGTTAGCACAGTCCCACATTTCAGATAAGCATATCTATAAATCACATGAATGTGTACATGTTAGAATTAGCAGGAACAGACTCGGATGATATGTAGCACTGTTAAAGGTCCACTATGGATTTTCTGCTGTTCTACTGTGAGATGTGAGAAATATTTCAAGCAAAGGAATAACATCTCCATGGCGATAGTCAGGCTGATGACCCCCCACCAGAAAAGTTACATATTGTGTCTTTAAGCCCCAAACAATTTAGACCACTGTCTTTTATAACAGGCCTACGTATATTTCCTAAAATGTGACAGTGATTCCAACTCCAATCCAACTGTATTTACAGATATTTCCTAAAATGTGACAGTAAATCCAACTCCAATCCGACTGTATTTGTGTAGCACATATTACAAAAATAAATAAATAAATAAATAAAATCAGCAGTATTATGTTTCAACCAAGAGGAAACTAATAGAATCAATCAATAAAATAATAATAATAAAATCAATGAAAAAATAATAAAATCAATACATAAAAGCAGTGCTAAAATAAAATAAAATTGACAATAAATAATAATTTACAACAATATAATAATAATAATAATAATAATAATAATAATAATAATAATAATAATAATAATAATAATAATAATAATAATAATAATAATAATAATAATAATAATAAATAAATAAATAAAAGACACAGAGGACCACATAACTCACGCGGTGTTAAAAGCCAATGAATGAATGATAATGTATAAGTGACGATATTTCCCAGTTAAACCTCGACTTTATAAACTTAGCCCCCCAAACAGACTATCTTGTCGTGGTTAATATTACTTAAACATATTCTATTCCTAGTCATATTAATAAAAGTGCTCCCACGCCGTGATACCGCGTGTTAGGACCTGACCCGGCTGGGAACAGACGGACCGGGGCTTACGCGCACACGCACGGGCCGCTCACGGGGGTTTCAGCTTGCAGCGATGACGCACTGTGAGCTCACTACGCCAGCTCACTGTTTGGATTTTTTTTTTTTTTTTAACAGACAAGATACTACGGAGCGGGAACCTCCGTTACAGAACACCGACACTTTGATTTCGATCGCTTCCCAAAAGTTTCTCCAACCCTTTCCTCTACGGACATGTATAAACGGGACCAGTGATTTTGAGCGCTTTTATTCACCAAACCGGTAAGTACGAGGACTTTTTCCACTCGGTAGTGAGATTGTTGGGGTGAATGGTTGCTGAAGCCGGTAGTTTGGCAGATAGTTAGGCACTGTCTGCTCATGTGTGGTTTGTCTCACCACTAAGCCTTGGTAACCACTTTTGCGCACGGCGGTGGAGTGTTTTATGACTTTATCTGACCGCATCGTGTCTGATATCAGCGTTGTTTGGATTGAACCTCCAGTTGCTCTTTGTTCAAGTGTCAAATGTATAGGCAGCTCTTATAAACAGCACGGGATTTGTAGGCTATTTGCCGGGATAAGGTTAGCAAAATACACCTAGAAAGTTTATTAGAATTGCTTCTAAAACGATGTCATGTGGCTTTACAGAGCGCTCAGTCCTGGTGATGGTGAATACGATACTGACCTTTACTCTCTCGTCCTTCCAAACGTTTCTTTCTCTCTCTGTGTTGACTACCACAACTTACACTCGCCTAAAGGATATATGATACAAAAGATAACACTCATTTAGACTTATTGGGAAGGACAAGGTGTTATTAAACTCATTGATTGTCTGAAGTTGACATGGCCTTTGATAGACATTTAAAAAACGGCTTTTGCAGTGTGGGTTAGTATGGACTGTTTTGACTCACACTCTATAGGACCCAGGGTGTGTCACTAAAGGGATAAAATTAGGTTCTTTCTTTTTTCTGGCCCATTATGAGAGCCTGATTGAGTGTAGTTTTAGAAAAGGCCCTGCCTCTTTAATTAGCCTATCAATTAACTGTGTCTATTTATCAAGCCAAAGCGGTTGGGAGGACTTCCAGACTTGGCAAAAGGCCAAAGCAATGCCATCCCAAAGTCAGCCCCGCTTCTGTGTGCCAAGGAAATTCCACATTACGGACCTCAGCGCTCTGCACATGCACTGTGGCACAGAGGCGTGTAATTACTAGAGGCCTAGACATCAAAATCTCTGAGAAAATGTTGGAAGAATGACCATTCCTATTTACTGTAACATGTACTTTACATGTTTAAAGTATATTCCAAGCTTTCTACATTTTTATATTTAGTCTGAGATCGAGGTACATGACTGCACGTGTGGCCACAGACTGCTCTGCTCTGAGGATTCAGACATCTTTGTATCAAAAATAGTGTGAAATTGTGTACTTGCATCCCCTGTTACCAGATTATCCCCCACCTTTGCCCCCTGGACAGACCCCTTCTGACTGATGCTGGCCACTGGAACACATGACTTAATGTACATATAGTGTATGACAGGTGCATTAGAGAGAGAGAATAACTAAAGAGTAAATAAGTACTGATTTAGTCCGCAGCATTTCTGTCCCACTGTGGGACAGCATTCCAAGAGCATCAGTTTTGATCCGACAGTCTAGCCACCGCACTTGGGCTTCTTCTAGCCTTGAGGGCACAGCACGCGTGCTGCCAGATGTCTGCCAACAAGCTAACTCTACCTGTCGGTGACCATAATGTAACCTCTCATTTAAATACTAGAGTTTACACTATTGTGTTCACAAACGTGAAGGAAAAAGGTCACTTCCTGGAAGTCACAGCTCTTTGTATATAATGCTGTGAATTCTTATTATCGGAGACAATGGTTTGTTGCACTAGTGAGACAGTCTATGAGAGTATGTGCTGCTGTTATCTGTGGAGTTGGGAGATTTCTGGTCTACATTATATTGGCTAGCATTTTTTGGTTGTCTTTAGTTGTTAAGCATAAGTTTGTCAAATATCACTACAGACCTGCTGTTTGAACTTTCTCTTTATGTTGGGATTTGGGGCATTTTTTGCACTGCCTGGAAACTAAAGACAAGAGATACTCACAATTACTCTTTGCTGAGAGTCTGAAACACTAAATGCTTACGATCATTTGTGTGGGCCACTGGGACTAGCTGGTTGTATTTAGCTCCACACATGAAATCCACAGCAGTGCACTGTGCAGTCCTGTCTTTGTGACGAGGCACAATCCACTGCCTGTGTATTTAAGCAGCCTGTGTGTTTGGACAGGGCCTTTATAACCCTGAGGTCACCAGTGATACAGACATTTCCAAACCGCTGACTAATGATTTTGACTAAACCAGCGTCTAATCTCATCCTACAGTGGCCTAGTTTATTGCAAAATTCAGACTAAATTATTATAGCATATTCCTGGTTATGATATAGCCTTCTAACAATTTTGTCAGCAATAATGTTTGATTGATTGTTGTTATGTCATTTCAAATCAACTGGTTAAAGCCGTGGTTCAAAAAAGCAGTTTCCCTTCAAATGTATTTTGTGACCAGCATTTATTTCAGACAAATAAACAATGTTTTGTAGTATATTTTGTGTTTCGCCTCTTCCCATAACCCATGTGGGATTTTTACTTTGCTTTCTGTAATATAACCTGACCCTTTGACCAGATAAAACACATAGATATATAGATATAAGTGTTCTAGAGTAATTTGACTAAACAATGATTAAGTAATTATAAGTTATTAGGGGTGTAAGCTACACAAAAATCACGGTTTGGTACGTACCTTGGTTTTGAGGTCATGGTTCGGTTCTTTTTTGGTACAGTATGGGAACCAAAACCAGTTGTTTATTTGTGTGTTTATTAAACCAACAATTTGTTTTAACATTATACAAGCGGGAAAATAAAATAAATGCAAAGTGCTGCTTGGTAATACTAATAAGTTAAATAAAATATTCTCAAATAATCAACAAATGTATGGAATATTATAAAAAAATAAATTCCTTGTAAACAGTAAACAAAACTTTTCCAAAAGTAAAGCGCAGCACTAACAGTTCCAGGAAGAAGTTTTAGAATCTAAAACTAAAACTACGGTTTTGCGAGGGGTCATGTGGTTTGGAGGGACGTAGTCAAGGCCGGGGGCAGCTGTTGTCAAGGCGGCCACCCTAACTATAAAGCACTGCCAGAAACATTGCCACCCCAATCACAGACGAGTTCCCTCATGAATATTAAAAAGCCAAGCCTCCATGTAGTTGCACATGTAGTGGCGGAATGTAAACACACACAAATTGTGTGAACTCACACGTGAACCGAAAGTCCCGTACTGAAATGGTTCGGCACAAATGCATGTACCGTTACACCCCTATAAGTTATATAATATAATATATTATATTATAATATTCAGTTGTACGCAAATATACTCCATACAATCAAGACATCCTGTATGAAACTGCCATTATCTTTGACTGTAAATGAATTGATTACAGAAGCATTGTCTGTGGAAGGAAACTCATCTTGGAGAGTAGTAGAAAACCAGTTTGGACACCAATAATGACCATAAGTACAGTCAGGTCAGTGGACATTTGACCAACGATGTCAGCAGCAGAGACACAGGAGAGGCTTGGCAGGTTTAGTGTCCAGTTCCATTGGAAACCGTGACAGTGACATCCCAACAGCACTCGGACAGAGCCACATCCGCAGACATGTGCACACTGTCCATAATGAGAGCGTGTGCAGTGCTGGCGTACTTCGACCTCTTCTTCACCAGTAATGGGCACCTCCATTCACTCAAACAGAGGGTATGGTTGTCCCTCTAACGCAGGCGACATACACGTACATATTATCTGAAAGTCCACCCAAGTCTCCTTTCCCATGCTGGGTAATTAGCTTAAACCTTTGTCTTGCCGCCTTTTCCATTATGTTCAAGTTAATGTGCATGTGCAGTACAAAATGGTGTTCCTTGAGACTGACCACCGCACGTAGCCTGATGTCATAGTCAGTCATTATCAGTAACTATTATCTATATATTTGTGTAATATTAACAAACACAATGTATTACATACTGCATAAGTACATTTTTACTGACTCTTACTTCCAACTAGGAGAGACTTAAAAGTTAATGTGGCATAGGTTTTACAGCAGATACACTGTATCTTTCAACATCATTTATCTTGGGTTGACTAGTTTATAACTAAACTTTTGACTATACTGATCTGTTGTGACAAAAACAAAACATAGGCCTCTTAAAAATATTACAAAATGATGGGTAAATGAAAGAGATGTTCTCTTGAAAGTTGTTGCTAAACCCTTAAAGATATAATGCACTCTTTGCTCAAAACTTTTTTTAGTTTAAAACATCTTTAAAAAGCTTAAATTGTACCTATGTAGTAAAAAACAGCCCAGTGTGTCTTTTCTCCAAAACATTGTGTCACACAAAATAACAGATTAAGGAGCTTTTATGAACAAAAATATAATAGATTTCTCAATCCTTTTGGAGTCAGTTAATCCTTAAGTCTGTATTTGTCACAGTGTTGAACATGATTGTAGATTTACAGCTCAAATCACTGGAATTTGAAGATTTTAGCGTAATGTTTTGTTGTGGCAAAAATTATATATCTCTCTTGAAGATAAATAATGAATCCATTTGCGAAGCCCGATGAGTTTTTGGAATATAGACCAAGGTTTATTCTTGTTACAGCAGATATGGACAGGGCCTAGGCCTGTTTCGGCCAAAGCCCAACAGCCTCTCACCCCTGTCTCCTCCCGTCTCTTCCCATCTCCCTCTCCAGAGCATTTGAGCTCTGAGTAGTTATACAGAAATACAAGTTACATACATATCAAAGCAGAGTGACTTTGGTTTCAGAGGGTGGTACTAAATTAACATACAGTTGAGGACAACAAAGGGCTTCCTGAAGGCGGAGACAGTTGTGCCTGATGAACCATTACACATGTTAATGACTGGTCTGGGTTTCAGGTAGAAATCACATTAATTTACACAAGACAGATTGAGAGAAATCTTTCCACAATCTAAATTTCTATCACAGTTTAAAAAATTTGAAGTCAGGAATGTGCCGTGGACATATGTTGAAAATTAGTCACAAATTTGTTGACATAACAATTCACCAGACAGGATGACTACTGAACTACTAAATCTACCAAACATACTGTCCAAAACATGTCTGGCTAGTACAACAACTCTGCACATCAAGTCAATCTTAACTTAAAGATGCATTGTGTAACTTTTCTGGTGAAGGATCTGTCAAATGCTTTTCTTCATGGAGATGTTACTGCTTTGTCTGGAATGTTTTAGAAATATGGCATTAAACCTTTCTATTTTCATGGAGACTAAACCATGCCGAGTTACAGGTCAGATCTATGGACAGACGACTCCTCTCACAGTCAGAATGTTGTTTTTTTTTTTTTTTTTGAGCTATTTTTGAGCTATAAAACCACCTGTAATTGAAAGTAATGCAGAACTGTTAATGTACTACACAGTGATTTTCCTGCGCCCATTCACTAGGTTTAGTATAACACTTTAATACAAGTTAATATGATAAAAAGCCCTGCTCATATTTTATATCGACACGTTGACCAGTTCCCGAGAGCCCTCTGTAATCTCCAGATCACAACATTATATAAACCCTGTTTACCAATTTGGATTCACTCAAATCTGTATCTATGCTTTTGCTTTGACCCCACACTCGACTTTTTTGGAAAAATATCTCTTTAAGTCCTGGTTTATATCTGTCTTAGTTTCAACGTCTTTACAGTTCTTACTTTAATATAGCCTTATCTTAAAGCAAGTGACATATAATAGCTAAAGAAGTTATGTACTATGCCTTTAATCCAAAATTAATCCTAATTTAATTCCATTTAGTCATGATTTTAAACCCAGACCCATTCGTGGTACGTGGACTGCCAAATGTTTTCTGAGGTTGAGCTTCAGCAGTGCAAACTCTACCAAAAACCTGAACTCAAACTCCAGCGACCAAAGAAACTCTTCAAACTCAGTGCCCTATGAAGCTGTGTAAGCATGACAAGATCATTTTGTGACACTAATAAGTGTGGGATTGCCCATGGGAGCGTCACAGGCAGATTCCTTTTGTCCCATTGTCCCGCAGCAGACCTGGCCCTGGCCTGACCCCTGTGTACTTCTGATCCCTGTCCAGTCACCTCCAACTCAAAGCATCACTCATCACTTCTTGTCTTTCCTCTGTTGTGGTGGCTTCCTTCCTTTGCACATTCATCCTGTTGGATTTGGAGTGACATCAGAAGACCAGAAAATAGCCCAAAAACCACGGCAACCAAATGTTGTGCCTGTTTTTGTCATGCCCTGGTCAAAACGCCTTTTTTATTACTAATTTTAGCTCCACTGAACAAAACATGCAGCGTCACAGGTGATCTGATGTTGTCATACTTGTTATTTGCATGTGTCAAGCAAGGAAGATAGCTTTTACGTATAATTACTGTTTTACAGCATCAGTAAGTTGGTAAAAGTCAACACTCTCCTATATCCCTTTAATTGTCCCTAATTTGTCTACTGTTTTGTAATTTCCATCATTGCACAAAATGACAAATCTAATAGTTGTGTTATTTACAGATTAGGATTGTGCCAGATTCCTCCCAAAAATATTTGTATTTAGTAATACAGCAATAATCTAGTATTTTAAAATAATACTTTAATGTACTCTCTAATTTGTTTTAACATATGTCCATGAGGACTCCACTTCCGTCCGATTCTGAAAAGTTGAAAGTTAATGAAAATTAAATGATATATGAATAATATTAATAGTATTCATAAATTATACTCAAGTAGGACTAATGTTACTTCAAAATAATATTGCTCAAGTAGAAGTACAAGGTAGTGGTCCAAAAATTACTCAAGTAAGTGTAAAAAATATTTGGGAAGAGTACTACTCAAGTAAGAGTAACTTAAAGAGTAACCATCAGGATGTAACATGTGATTTATAATTTAAAGTTAATGTAATGGGAAGAACAAAACATTAAATAATACACAAAATCAGCTGTTTTTCTGAAGGAGGTACAAGCAACACAAATGTTCAAATGATTTAATATTGTTATGATAAATATTATACCGTGGGAAGAATAACCAAAATTTTTACTCAAGTAAGAGTCCTGTTACTGTGATAAAAAAATGTAAAGTATGCTACAAGAAAAGTACTTTGAATATAACAATTACTTTAAGAAGATACTCCAGTAAATTTAACTGAATAAATATATCTGAGTCATACCTGTGTCATGATTACTCAAAGCTAGACACAATAAATAAAATATAAATCAGTTTGGTAAGTTTGCAAGGAAATTCTCTATCCAACCAATCTGTTGATAAATTGAATGGGCACTGCTGTATGATATTTGGCAACATTAACTAGTGTCCATGGCTGAAAAGTGCTGATTGGGCCCGATGACTGTTTGGCGTGTTTTGGATTGTGGTCAGAGGTGATCCTCATCTTCACATTCGATGGTACACACTATTTTTGTTGGTTCATTGCGAGTTGGAAGAGGCATGTCTCAAGGGTGATGGGAGGTGTCTGTGGTCCCTGTTACACTATAAGACAGCCAGGTAACACCACATCTGTCACTTGGCTATAGTTCCACATATTTTTACATTTAAAGATAAGTATTTATTACTCTTAAAGTTAGTTTCTGATACAGAGCATCTTTACCAAGTTGCCACGGTGACCAGAGTATTCACTCACAAATCTGGGGTATGTACAACCTATTGTTGTTTATCTCTCTTTCTTCAAGTTTGTGTCTACTGGCTTGTCACTTTTTCTCACCCTGATCTATTGTTGGTATAATGGTATTTTGTCATGGCCATTTAACTATTGTTTCAAATTGTGAAATGTTACAGTGTGATTGCTTATTGGTTTGGATAAATAAATTAGCAGCTTTCAGTACTATTGTACAATACTAATACTACAATTTGATATTACCTTGTGAAAGAAAATTGCTTTGGTTATAGTTTAATGAATTCTTCTTGACTTTAATAAGATTCAGGCATGACCTGAAAAACATTCATCATAATATTGTGATTGAGAATACATTTATGTTTTCATTTTATTTTCCAGACTTGAATGAAATATTGAAAATCCATTTACTATAACTGGCCTAGAATTAGTCACAGAGAAACTTTCCATTCATCCTCTCATATCCGTAAACGGAATCTGATTCATGCTAAATGCTATTTACGCCACTCCAAGCTCCCTTCTCCTGCCTTATACTTGGAATACGAATGACTCAGGTGTTGAGCAAAGCAACTATTGTGTTTTTATATGTGTGTATAGAGCATATACGAGTTTGAACCTTAAATTCAAATGATTTAAGTAGTCAAATGATTTAAAATTTGTGAATGTATGTCATGTATAATAAGTGGGTATATCTTTCTTACAGATCATATGTACATAGAAGAATACATTGAAGATGACGAGGAACCACCTTTGCTGCTCTACTCTTGTCCTTCTCACGGTAAAAATGATCCCAATGAAACTTTTTTTTTTTAATCACAATTGAACATACAAAATCACCCTAGCCCCATAATTTGCTATAGTGTGTGGTGTTTTGTTAGACTGGATGTTGCGTAATTGGCCCATTGGAACCTTGAAGGGTTGGATTATTATCACAGTACACTGAGAAAAGATGAATTTCATAGTTGCCTAATCCAGAAAACAGTAGAACAAAAACAGAACTGAAACAAAAAAAAAGTTGCATTAATATACACCTTTGCAAAGACCAAATATTAAAGTACCTGTAAACTTTAGATTTTTACATAGTAAAATGCATTGTCTTCATTTAACACAGACTGCTGTCCAAAGTGTTATAGCCTCAAAACGTTGGAGCACATTACTTTAGAATATGGTGATTATTTCTGTAATTGGTTAAAAGTTTTGTATTTTTACTGATCTCTTTGTGGTATGTGCAGGTGTTTGGCTGTGGTGGGGCGGCAGCGGTGCAGTGCCGGTGGGGGGAGGGCTGTGTTTGTCTCCAGTGTCCTGCTGGACAGCAGCCTTCGAAAGTAAGACTCTTGTGGATCTAAAGATGCTTTAACAATATGAAGTATTATACTGTGAGTGTTAGTTAATTTGATCGTATGTCTTCCTGATGATGTTATGCAGTAATAGACAAAGCTTTCAAGCTCACTTTAAAGTCTGTTCTTAATCCTTCTAGACACTCTGTGAACTCTCTCTATCTCTCTCTGTCTAGATAGACAGATAGATAGATAAATAAATAGATAAATGGATAGATAGATATAGATAGATAGATAGATAGATAGACAGATAGACAAATCACAATCAAACAATCAGAATAAATAATATATAAATAACAATTAAGGGATCCTGCAGTTCAGACCTCTACAAGCATGTTCCAAAATGCAGGGAAGCTGTTTATTTTATAGTTTGTATTTCATTTCTTCTCTTTATGGTTAATCCTCAATGTGTTCACACACATTCGGAAACAGATCCTGATGGGAAATCATAAATTGCAAATCTAATCAGTGATCACTTTACTAGAAATATGAGTAGGTGTATGTTTTTTGTTTCCGAAAATGTAAACTATCTGTATCAAAATACACATTTTTTTTTCATTGTCTGTCTTTAATAATGAACTCAAATGACCTTTTTCCGTAGGCTTGTGCAGAGATCCAGACTCCAGAAGAAGAGGTGAGCTGCCAGTCATGTCCAGAGGGGAGCTTCTCAGACGCCCTGGATTCTGAACTTTGCCATCCACATCTTTCCTGTGAGCTGATTGGTCGAGACGTGGCGACCCCAGGCACTGTGACCTCTGATACTGTGTGTGGAGACTGTCTGCCAGGGTTAGTCTGCCTTTCATTGTCCTCAGGTTACCTGTCTGACCTTTAGCTGTGAAATTAAATGGGTCTCTAAAACCTAAGACTGGGTGGTACTTTGGACCCTTCCAGAAGAATTATCTACAAAATATAGGCTAAAAAAAGCAGGAGTCCAACTTCATGTAAAAAATATTGGGTAGGCAAATATTCCATTTCAGTAGGCTAGCTGGTTAGCATAGGTATGCCAGTATAGATGGGGTAGTCAAATATGTTTATATGTCCTTTACTCTATGTGGAACTAATTCCAGATCAAAGAACATACATACTATACGTGTCCCTCATTTTTCCTATTACAAACAGAATAGACTGGCTGATGTATTACTTCACTGTCTTTGCTCGTTTGTGTTCATGTGTATGGGATTGTCTACGCCTAAAAATATTCACTCTGAATGAGACATGAGGTATTAAAACTTTTTTTTCCTGATTTGTACAGGTTATTCTCAACAGAAGGATCCATCCGAAGTCCATGTGTTGAAAGTATGTACGACAAATGTTTAAAACCAATGAATTTCACTACTGTATTGTATTGTGACCATTTTTTTCTTTACCCAGAGCCTATGCATTTGCGGCCTGTGCGCACAGTTGCTGAGGGCACCTCGGCTGGCATAGGGGGACCTGTAAATGGCACAATGGTACGCAGTGCTGAAGAGAAGACCGCAGTATGCTGTTTTTGCATTGGTGCCTATTTTCTGTGTTATGGGCCTCCTGGGCATCCTTATCTGCAATATCCTCAAGAAGAAGGGCTACAACTGCATGGCTGAAAAGGAGGGAGGGGACCCTGAAATGGCCTCACCACAGAAAGACGGTAAGACAAAGTACAATACAGTACAATAGAAAGCAGGAATCCCTATCTATGCACTGTGGCGGTGTGGTATTGTACCCATAGTTATGATAATCTTTGCTTTTTTAAACTTTGACCTGGCTGTGGGTGGATGCAGACAATGTTAGTTTTGTCATTTTACGATTTGAAAAGCACTAAAATAGCATTCCCATCGAACACTTAGCTGAATGACGTAAACTCTAAGCTAGTTTATAAAACCATAAAAAGATACAGCGTAAATATATAGACAATATAGAAAAAGACAAGGGCAGAAGGAATAGAATTTTCTTTGTAGCAATTATTAAATTACAGGTATTTTTACTACTAGAAAAAAGCATTCTTTCTGTGAGCTTGATCTCTTCTACATAGACCTGTAACTTTGTGTCACTGGCTCATCTCCACGGTGCTAGTTAAATTAATGGCATATAATGGAACATCTAAGACAAAGCAATAACATCTCCATGGAACCAAGAAAAATGACATAGTGCACTTTTAATTGAAAGATTTCTCATATCTCTTTAAGGTTGCATTGTTATTGTAATATATGTTAAAGAGGGTTTCGTAATTCATTGTCACGTGTCTTTCTTTCTTTCTTTCATTCTTTCTTCTATATAGGCCATCCATGTTGCATTCACAGTAAAAGAGGTACACCCACATTTCATTTCAAAGTTACATTATAGCTTGTGTCCCTGTCTCCTCCTTCGGTGTCAAGTTTTAGTTCCTGACAGTAGATTTTAGAGTATTGTGCTACTGAGTTGCACTAAACAGCTTTGTGATCCCCTAGAGTGTGGATGTTATAGACCTAGAACATAATGTGACTTTCTTTTATGTAAGCAAAAGTCAGGTGGGTACAGGTTATATAATGGTAGCTCTAATAATACCATTCAGAATCATACGAAACTTGAGCGAGGCCTCTTTTTGAAGGTCCCAAACTGAACAAACTTGTACTATTATCTTTTATTATATTTTTTAGAGAATTTCTAGAAAACAAATATTTAGTTCACTTTTGTTCTGCTGCTGCAAATGTCTAGTTCAAAGACATTTGAGGAGTTATGTATGTCTGTTGTATTGTAAAATAATTAATTGTAGTCCAGAAAAAATGCATAGCAGTACACTATTTAGGCAGACATTCTGAAAAATAACATCCCGTACCTTAAAATACCTTAAAAAACTTGACGATCTCTCCTTTTCACAGACCTGATGACCTCGTGCTGTCTCCTGTTTATCTCTATTGAAATCAGTGTGTTTAATGCCATAATTTGGAACATTCCATGAAAACAATACAGTCTTAATGGAGACAACCAGGTAGTGGGGTAGTTAAAAGTGAACATTATATTTGCATAGCTGTACTATAGATAATAATCACTGTATTTGTATAACTCTGAACTTAGATTCTGTTTTATGGAAGAGGCAGTTTGGTTGTATCAGTTGCCTGTGCAGATTGTGTCCATGACTTTTGCAGTTGTGTTGTGCGCAAACATAAACAGGTTTAAAGGATAAGATGGCTTTTCCCCTTACCAACCTGATGCTCCTGGCTCAGTGAACAGCTGAGAGGCAGTATGTGACAGAGCAGATGCAACTGGCTCTACACACGTCAGAATGCCTGCTGTTATTAGCTCTTATGGCCTCTGTGATTAAGGTTCACTGGGGAAGAATGGCTTTAGTCCTGTCAACTTTCAACACAGTATTTATTCTTACTGTGATATTGTATTTTTGCGCTTTAACTTGGTGCTGCTGCCTACAATTAAGATGTTGTACAAAACCAAACTGGTTCTCAAATTTTGCCATGTCGACAAGGTCTGTTTTTGTTTGTTGTGAAACTTAAGAGGAGCCGACAGCTAAGGAAACTCCCAGAAACAAAGCCCATCCCCCACATGGTCAGTTGTCAGTCTCGCTCCACCCCATTCACCTCAGTTTCAGTCTTTTCGGACCATATCCTTCTCTCAATGACTGAACATGAGACTATGCATCCAGCTCTTCTTTCCCAGCCGCTTCAATTATTCACTCAAGAGTTTACCTCATAGTCTCCACTTTCGGTGCCTTATCTTTCTATTCTAATGAGCATGAATTATGACTGGCATTCTTGACCCTCTGCCATGTAGTCTCTGTATTTTCCTCTGCAGGCTGGACTCCATTGAGCTGAGTGGTACATATCTTACCCCAGCACATTTCTGTCCATCTCCAGTCATGAGGAACACCCATGGGGGGGAATTAGAGCAGAGCCAGGCCTACCTCTGCAGAGCTCAGAGGATATCAGGCTGACTGTGCAGAGCTGCAGACAGACTTGGAGCTAAGGATAGTAACAGGACAGCAAGTAGAAAAGACTAAGATAAAATGTAAGGTCAAAGATTTATAGCGCAATGACAGAATTAATTAATTAGACAATATACATTCATGATTGTAGATAGTTACCCTGATTCATCAGCCAGTTTCACTTTGTAGAAACCGTCTGACCTTGCTTGAGGGTAGACAGGTACTTTTTTCATTTAACCAATCGCTGCTATTTGGTAGTCACGTATGTAATGCATCGCTAATGGGGCTAACTGATATATTAAGCTGTTCCCAAATCCCATAGGAAGAAGGGCAATAACGTCTTTCCCCTTAATAAAATTCACCAAACATTCTCTTTATTCTGACTTTAAATCCTGGATCTCGGGAATCGTTGACAACACTGCATGTATGGCTCTTTGCTGATTGGCTGGTGCCCGAACGCGCACTTTCGTCTATTGTATTTTGATTCCTGACCAATTTGCTGGAGAGAAATGAAATTGAGCGGAGGTTCATTGGTTTCATTCAGTGTTCATTGCTACTGAATATAAGATATTTTTAAAGAAAGTCATACTATACTATCAGATCAAACTATCTTATCTTAGACTATACAACATAGTTCAATCAAGTTGTGACAAAGTTGTAGTTTATGAGGGTCAAGTGTCTTGCCCAAAGGCACAACAGTGGTATGTGCCTGGACGAGTTCACACATAAAACCAATAACTGTATAGATTTACTAATCCAAACTATAACAGAAGTACACTACCTGGAATTATTTTTGGGATGTAATTATCATTAGGAATTGAAAGAAAAATTAAGCTATTGTTTGTCCCATTGCAACACCAAACACATTGTCTGACATGCATCTGAAGAATAGTTGAAATAGATGCCCTTATCCTGGTTACGACCACTGACTATTGTTCTGGCCTAACAATAGCCTAACACCTCTTATGCAAGATTAACTTGTAGGGCAGTACTTTGTTAATAGTATAAGTACCCTTCTCCTATTAAATGATAAACTGCTCTGTAACATTTTGTATGTCTAAGCTATTGTGGTCTAGCTTTGATTTTTAATTGGTATTTATGTTTAAAAAAAAGTCCCCACACATACAGTAACGTGCCTCCTTTGAAACCTGCTGCATTTAAAGCTCTCTGTCTTCGTGCTCTTCTATTATGGGATGGGTCACAGGGGTTGTCATGGGGGATATCTATTCTTTGCTGTCCACTGTAATCCACATCCATCCTTATCAGTGCCATCATGTACCGAGACACAATACAGGAGCAGTCCCATGCACTGTGTGAACTGTGCCAGTGCAGAAAGTTGGACAATGTGTGTCCCTATTTACTGCAACACTCTCTTTGTTTGCTCTGCTAAAGCTGTAATGAAGACTATGGCCTTCACTGAATCCATAGGGCGTACTGTCATCTTAAGTAAAGGCTGTCATTTTGAAGAACAAATAAATGACTCAATAAATGCAATGAAATAGAGTGTAGCACAGTGTTCTCTTGGATGTAGTGGTTCTCAGGTGGTTATAAAAGTGTATTCGTAATATTTTTCTTTTGCTCAATATCTAAACAATTGTCGTATAGAACATTTGAGAACCAAATGTAGTAGATGTAGTAAACAAGTAAATACATTACAGTGTATTAATAACCACAGACTCCACTGCAGCTCATTCAATGTCAGTAAATCTCGTGCTTTTTTCTTTTAGGAAACAACTGTCCCTATATCTCTGATGACATTCTGAATGAAGATACCATTAGTGTCTTGGTGCGTCTCATCACAGAAAAGAAGGGTAAGTGTGAACATGGCTCGTTCTTATCTGAAGCCAGTGGACAGTGTATCATTGCTTCTCTTGTGGCTTCAGAGGGGAACAGGAGAACCTCAGTCTCCACTAACACGTCATGGACAAAATACTTGTTTCCATGACCACAATGCAAGCAATTGATCTACAAAACATATTTAGACAAACTTTCCAGATTTGGTAGTTTTTTTGGAGTTTTTATGCACATTTTAATTATTATTACATTACATTACATTTAATATTTTTATTAAATTATTTATATACAATTTAAGTATTAATTAGTACTATTATAATGTATAATGTAACTTTTCTGGTTTAGAGTCCACCACCTGCTTGTCTTCATGGAGATGTTCTTGCTTTGTATGGCATTAAACTTAACTCCATGGAGACAAGCAGCTGACTCCTCGAGCTTAAGTTACAGATCAAGGAGGTCTGTGGAGAGGCGGCCACTCTCACAGTAATTGAATTATGCATTAGGGATATGTTAGAAGTTTTCAGCTTGTCCAAGAAAGGATGGAAGTAAAAGGCTGGAGACCAACTGAATGTCTTAAGCAGGAGAAGTTTATTTATCATCAATAATACGTCAGTGTAGTATGATGTCAAAAGTAAATATAGTGATTTCAGAAGTGAACATCTTTGAGTGTTCTAGCCCCTTCACAAAGGAGGAGATTTATAAAGCAAGTGTGGCGAGACTATGAAGGACAGTAGGCACCATTTAGTCAGTAATATGCCACAATTAATGGTGCCAATGGTATGCCAAGGGAAGATGCTCGTGTTACTATAGTCCTGTGAGTCAATGTTAAACTGAGAGATGTAGAGACGTGAAGGATAAATTACTTAAATTCTCTTGCAGGATAGTTTAATGCAATACTGTGACATTTCAGGCAAATCAGTAACCAGAAAAATTACACAGTGCACCTTTAAAATGTGTTTTATGTATTTTTCAGAAAATGCTGCTGCTCTGGAGGAACTGCTGCTTGAATATGAAAGTAAACAGACGAGCAAAGCGTCCTCCATCAAGTATGAACAATATACAAACATCTACACACGTTTTTTCATATTCACTTTACAAATTTATGACTACTGACAAGTGATAAGTGAAATTTAAAAAGCGATAAAATGTTCAGATTTAATCGCTGTATTTACTGATGTCATGAAAATGGACTGCAGCTGTGGTTTTGTTGTTGTCAATCACTCTCTCTCTAAAATATAAATGACATTAAGAGGTGCCAGTTCCACCCTTAAGCAGTGACTCAGTGCCACATGTCAGCTGTCGGCTTTACACACAGTTGTAAGTGCTGTCAGCTCATGAGCCTTCATCATGATGTATCACTGCCCTCAACACTTGTCACATAGTTTGTATCTCACAATTTACATGACCATGAGAATTTGTGGTTGCAATTAGGGTCCTAAGTTGTGGCCATTTAAGATGCATTATGTAACTTTTCCAATTGGGGTCCACCTTCAGCTTTGCTTTTAATGTTCTGTACTTTCATCTCAGGCCTACAGCAGTGACCCCACAGTAAAAATGCAATAAAAATGCTTAATTCTCTATGTATGGAACATCCCAGCAATAATATTTCAGTGGGAACGAGCACCAAAAAGCTACATGGTCCTTTAAATTCAGTTAACTAAAACAAAAAAGTCCCTGTTTAATTCAAAGTAAAATGTAATTTCATGTAGACCAACCGTATATATCTCAACACTAGGGTACTGTTCAGGGTCCACTGTGGGCTGTCGTAAAATGTGAGCTGTAGGCCTCAAGGACATTTACCCCCTCATACACATAATGGAATTTACATAAACATTCCAGAAAGCCTTCAAATCCTATGTCTGCATGTGTGTGTGGGAGATACTATACCAGGTCATGCACGGCTACTGTAGGTCAACCAGCACCTAGTATTACACTGAACTGCTCCCAACTGTGTCCATGTCACTGCACAATAAAAACAATGGGAAGCTACAGAACAGAGGAGCTTAGAGAAGAGCTTAGAGCATGTGGACATAGCCAACTATATGGATGTCATTGTTGCAACCTTGACAGATTTAAACATATTTAAAATTAAATTACAGCTTATAGCAGAATTGTTTGTTAACATTTAAAGGCACACTGTAACTTCTCTGGAGGAGGATATGCAGCCTGCTTGTCTCCATGGTGATGTTATGTTTTGTCTAGAATGTTTCACAGCATGGCATTAAACTTACCTATCCACGTGGAATTTTCAATGTTCTTGAATAATAAAAACATGTATAATTTTATAAATACAAGATAGATAAGTGTTTTGCTGTACTGTGAAATTCTAGACAATGCAAAATGATCAAGACAAGCTGGTAGTGTACCCTCCTCCAGACAAAGTTACATAGGGCACCTTTAAGCATCTCAATTAGTTGCTATAGTAAAAGCCAAAATAAATATTAGCACATATGACAGACTGTATATACATTATAATCCCAGCCTTATAGCTCACAGTCACTTTATAGCATGTAACCTTTGTAACTATATCTTCTTTATGTGGTCTTTATTCCAGATTGCCCACATTGTCCCCCCTGTCCACATTCCGCTCCTTACCCAGACTGTGCCCTCATCAGTCCCACCTCCACACTATCTCAGGCATGTCTGGACTGGCACCCAGACATGGCTACCGGTGTACCCGCTGTGCCCAGAGGAAATGGCCCCCAGTCCTTATCCCTCCTCTGGATGCCCTCAAAGACCCCCTTAAGGCCCCCCAGTCCCTCACCCTTCCATCCCTCAATGCATCTATGGACCAGCAGAAGAGCCCCCTGCTGGCCGGAGTATGTGTTGACACCCACCACACTCTTGCTGGTGTGCCAAATACTGTTCAGGACAAAACAGATGGGGCTCAAGTGAAGGAAAAAAAGGAAGGAGAGCTGACAGTGGTGTCTGTGGGGAGGTAAGAGATGAACTATGTAATATTTAGATGAATGGGGCTTATTCAGGAAAATTACAATTGTTAACATTCAGAATTTTGTTGCTATACAGTGAGGTTAAGGACTTAGTCAGTTTGCATAACTACAAATATATATGTTTAATCCAATCCATCTGCACACTGAACATCAGATTCTTAACTTATAAGAATGTACCATCTATGTTTAATTTTTAAGGCATCAGTAAACTGATATGAAAGAATCATATTGGTCTGCACAACTTATTTTGTTATTTTTAAAGCCATAACTATAGAGCTATATGGTAGAAATATGAATGGAAAGGTATTAAAATATGTATTTTCTCTCACATGTATGTGTTGAATTTTTAGATTTCAAGTTGCACAAATCCCCGAGCACAAGCCTGTCATTAAGGAACCCAAAACCTCAACTCAGGAGCAGCGCAACTCCTTTTTTGGCATGACTCCATTTTCCTCTTCATCAGTCATAAGAAGGTACAAGATACACCCTCACATTCTGTTCTTTCTTTGTTGTCTGTTTCTTTCTGCGGTACTTTGGCTCTTTATATCATATATGCTTATTTTACTCATTTTAAAATGTTTTCCAGGTGAAGATGTCCAAAGGTGGCGCTGTATGATAAAAAATGCGACCTCAGCTATGGCAAGCGACTAGACAGCTTGGAGGAATAGCAGGAATATGCATAAATCACTCCTGGTAGACGCTGCACCTAGTACGCTTCCACATGAATCTCTTTGAACACCTTGCTGTACCATGTAAGCACTGCAGAGATATTACAAACTTTTGGTTCAGGTTTATGATAAATGAGCAAAACACTAGCCACTGTTAAGGGGTATACAACAGTGTTATAGTATTTCTATCATTTACTTCTATATCTTTACCTATGCAAATGGGCTGTAATTCTGCTTTTATTGATAATTTTCTACTGCTGATCTTAGAACTAGAGATGGCCAAATGATAGTGAATGGTTCTCCATCTGGCTTTTTTATTTTAAGTTGCTTATGGATCTAGAGTCAAAGGTTAGGAAGATTTTGTATCATTCACATGTAAATAAATGTACATAATGTATATAACTGTATACAGGGTGGTCTGTTGGGCATTTTAACAGTAGTTTAAGGTTTAAGGTTTGAATTTGACAGTGCTAGCAGGTTATGTGCTGCCTGTCAGACGTGTGTAATTTGATGGTGTCATTGAAAAAGCCAAGCAGTGGTGAAGGGGGATTAATGGTTAAGAGTCCTCAAAGTCAAGCATCTCTCTTGGCTTTAATTTCCATCCTCATGGGTCTTCCTAGCACCCTCAAGGAGACCCCTCAGTCATTTCATTTTTTTTCTTATTATGAGCTTATGAAGGGTATAATGTTTAGCATACATTATTTATTTTAAATTGTGTTTATTTAATCTGTTTTTGTTATATTTAATATTTTAAAGATCAATGTTCTCATGTTTTGACGTTTTGATAGAATGAGGAAAGTAAGAAGTTTGCATCTCTTTGAGATTTTTAGATTGAATTTGTAAGATTTTTTTCTTTATGATGTTTTTACTGGAGAAATAAAGATATCTTTTAAAAATGGTTCTTCTTTCCAGTCATTGTGATTGTAATGTAGTGTCTCCCCCTGGTGGCACTTTATATATATATATATATATATATATATATATATATATATATATATATATATATATATATATATATATATATATATATATATATATATATATACTTTAAAAAATAATTCCATAAAAATACTATATACCTATAGCAAAAGGTGAAATTCAATTTGTCAACTGTACAAAAGTTTATTTTGACAAAGTGTTGTTGACAAATTGAATTTCTCCTTTTGCCATGGATTCTACCTGGACAACTGAGGGATTTTACACATGTATAACATATAATACCATACCATTATGGAATATTTATTATAGTGTCTACAATTTGCATTATATAAAGGTTTCTTTGTATTATAAATCCAAAGTACAACAAACACATATACAAGATAAATTATCTGTCTCCTTCAAATTTTATCGGGCCTGTATAATTATAACTTGAACACTTTGAAATTTCTAAACAAATTGTGCGTTCACCTTTCAGCCATAACTGTACCTGCAGCACTTAATTTTTACTTCAGAATAAACAGTATATTATTTTTTGTATATCCTAGTAATTTAAATGAAATAAGCCTGACAAATAATTTACAAATATGCCTTTAGCAAAATTTTGGGGCAGATCCAAGCTGTTAATGTTAGTTAAATATAAAGACATAATATATTCATTTATTTATAATTTGGTAGTGTCACACTGTTGTATACATTTTGACCCAGTTCTTTTCTTCTTGGTGAGGGTATTCCTGACGCCCTGTCCCGCCAGGAAGTACAGGATGGGGTCAATGCAACTGTTAGCGCTGGCAAACGGTCTCGTCACTTTGTAGGCCACACTGGAGGCTTCCAGCAGACTGCAGCTGACCTGGAGAGCAGAGACATGGGAGTCAACAGAAGAATGTATGAAAATAAAACCTAAATGATGCTTATCATGTAAGGCTTTAGAGAATAAACAGAAGAAGTTGGTCATAACTGAGAAATACTAAATTTGTCAGATTTAAGAATCTCACATGTGCTGGGTTGATTTGTTGTAGATATCTGAATGAGTAGTACAGACTTCTGGTCAGATGAAAGGGCAGAAAGCACAGCATAAATGTTGCCAGGACAATAATGATCATCTTGACTGATTTCTGCTTGTAGTTCTGGGTCCCCAGACCTCCTCTTAGGCCTGGTCTGACCTCAGCTGCCCAGCCGGGCTCCAGCAGCTTCCTGACCATGAGCCCATAGCACACCATGAGCACCATGAAGGGCAGGGCAAACATGAAGACAGACACCACAGAGCTGTACACCAGGAAATCATCGAAGAGCTCTGGACTGGTGGTGTCATAGCACACTCTCTCCTTGTCTACATCCCTGCAGTACAAAACAGGCCAGTTTGTTGAAAGAATAATTCAATGTTTATTTTTCTGTTTTCATACTTTGAATTCACTTTCAAAATGATAAAAAAAGTAAAAAAAAATATATATACATGGAATTTATGACACAGCTACTAGTACTACTATAAATATTTGTCTTTGAAATTGTACTGTAAACAACCCTAGCTTAAATCAACAAACTTTTAACTCAGTCTGGAAAGTCTGGAAATACTTTTATAAGAATGTACTTAATACTGTTCATCAAAAGAAAAGGGCCGTAGTTACCCAGTGCATACAAATAAATTATAATTTAAAAAATCGGGACAGGAATATATGTGTTTTACCACAATATGAAAAAGGATAGTTCTGGCAGCTAGGCTACTTTATCAGGGCAATGAAGTTACTTCCCTAGATACAATCAATTCTAATTGATTTAACATAATTACAGACACTCTGAAAGCAATGAAAGTAAGTCTTGATTTGATTTCATTATAAGATTCAATTACCGAGTCCTGGAGAAGTAGAGAATGGGGGCTTGACAGAGTAAAACACAAGCCCACACTGCCACAGACACCAGCTTGGCCCGACGTGGGCTGACCCAGTTCAGAGAGCGCACAGGGTAGCAGATGCCAAGGAATCGATGAAGGCTTATACAGCACAAGAACAATATAGAACCTGTGCGATAATAGATAAACAAAAGGCACAGATACACAAATCCACTTAATATCTGGTTACTTGGCTATGCATGGTTCATAGACATGACTTTTAAAATATCAAATCCCATGGTGTAGTTTTTAATATTAGTGAGGCTGTTGCTCCATCCCTCTGCCAAATCATTCAGTCATTGTGTCCTTGAGCAAGACATTTCACCCACCAAGCTTCTAATGTCTGTATAACTGTGAATGTGTTTAATGTGTACGCACAGCACTACATCATCAAAGCTGTCACCCTTGCACAGTGCAACCAACATACCGGCAGTGCTACATCTATTTTTGTTCTTTGTTCGACTGTAAATAAAATACAGCTTTAAAAATTGCAACAAACATTTTACACTGTACTTATAATTGACAGTAATATTTTAAAGCCATACCATATAAGTTGGCGTAAAACAGGAAGCGAATAATCTTGCAGAAGGGTTCACTGAAGGGCCAGTCGTTCTCATCTGCATAGTAGTAGATAAGGAATGGCAGAGTGAAGATGTAGAGAGTGTCACATACTGTCAGGTTCAGCATATAGATGGTGGACGGCTTCCAGTGTTTAGTACGAAAGATGATCACGTACAGAGCAGTGGCATTGAGGGCCAGTCCAATCACAAACACCAAAGCGTAGCTGACAGGCAGGAGGATGTACTTGAAATCCTCTTGGAATTCGCATAAGTATCCACTGGAGGTATTTGGATATGTAAAGTTGTCTGATCTGCTCATTGTGGTTATGGAAACACCTATAAAATACAACAAAAACAAAGGCAGGGATCAGAGACATTTTGGATAATATATTTATAGAAAGCAGACTGGAAGCAACAAACAAGGTGGAACGCCAATGCAGGATTCCATGGAAAAAAGGAATGTCCTCCGAGATGGATTTCATGCAATATTGTGTAATAATACAACCAAAGGCAGATGGAGATAAACATGTGGTGTCAGTTTTGTGGAGATACAAACCTGCCCTTTTAGTGCATTGAAAACATCAAAACTGAAAGTAAAATAAAATAAAACATCCTTGTATTCTAGTCTGTTTTTTGTTTAAAATGTTTTACTCTTACAGTGGACCTTTAATCTAAGATAACACACCTATTAATGGATTTCTTTTTACTCTAAATTGCCCATGGCAGGGCAAAAATACATATTCCATATCTTGCTAACAACATAAATGTACCAAAGTTATAACTTGTTTTGTATAGTTTCAACCTAAAAAAAAAATCCTAAATTTATTTTTTAACTGTTTCAATGAAATGTGTCAATTGGAGCTAAAAGGAAACCTGAATTTCGCCTTCTCTCGGTCAATAAAGTCTATCTATTTGGAGATGGACTGCTACACATTCCAAAAGGCATATACTTCTACTCTGTTTGAAAGGCTATATAGCATTGATACCATCACTTTACACAAATGCACCACCTCATTTCACCTGCAAATGCTGCCAATATTTTTGCCATTCTTTTGTTTTCTGTAATTTTATTCTTCTAGTACATTTAACAGGGACCAGGACCTAATGCCGTTTAAGGCAAACTGCCAAAGTCAACCTCCTTCAGGTTCAAAAGTTATGATTGGTAACAGTATATGTGGTTCACGACTCCACACATTTGAGAAGATGTAATCTACCAAAGATTAACACTATTAACACTTTCTCTTTCACAACTCAAAAATCTTCCACAGTCCTAAAAGTTTACTTTACTATCAAGACGTCACAAAAAACTTCTGTTACTTACATTAAGAAATGATCTCAAAAATACTTATTTTCCAGGGTGTAAGAGTTAGCAGCGTCAAAGTGTCCTCATTCTTGTGCAGAGCAAGCATATTGTTATGGCTAAAAGTGGTACAAAGAAAAAAAAACACCTACGTATTTTTGCATAGTTGTCTTACAAGCTGGAACCTGCTTTAAGTATGTGTCAGTTGAGCCAAGGGCAGATCACTGGGTCTTCTCTAGAGAATGCAGATGGCTATTTACTGTAGGGTGTATTGAAAATTCAAAATAATGGTCTCATAACAAGTTTTTGACATTTAAGACTGCATAGTGTTTATCTTACCTTGCATCACTATCCAAATTATAATCCTAGAATTCCCTATAAAGTTCATGAACTGAAAACATCTTGACAGACAAACAAAATCATTGTCCTATTACTCAGGCCAGGCATTTCTCCAAGTAAAGACGTAGGCCTTTGTTGGAGCTATGTTTAGGTGGGAGTGTGTTAACTTGCACATTAAAATGTGAGAACGAGAGCTTAATGTCTTACCAATGGTAGAAGCTTTGTGCATTAATCATTACAAAGCCTCACAGTAGCCTTAACCTTGGCACACAGGCTACTGTGTAGAAGGCCCACTGCCCTTGAGACTACAGCTGTCTACCAAGAATGGGAGTAAGCTAAGCATTCTTGTTTCAACTAAAAGAATAACAAAAGATTTTAATGACAAAGCCTTTGCCCGTACATGCAATCCATGATTCAAGAAACCCATGTCAAGATGTAGTTAATGCAGTTAATATGAAACTATAAGCAAACTTTTTACACCCACACTGATTGCACAGTACCACCTCATATATCTGAGTATTTTGTTCTTACATTGGTTCCCAAATAGGCTAAGAATAAAGGGCTACCAGCTTCACAGAGCCAAGACATACATCTCTCTTGTCTGAGAGGCCCTATATTTTGCTTAGTTCACATTTTACATCACCAAGTCCAGCCTAGCTTGTCCAAGATCGATTTTTCCTTGATCGACTGCCCCTTCTTGTTGCTATGCAGGTCTGCAGGGAGTAGCGTCTTGTCTGTCTCCTTGAAAAAGTAAAAGGCGCTCACACTGACAACAGAAAGAGAGAGATGTGTTGTTTCATGGATTATTTTAATACAAATCCGTTATAACCTCGTAATTAACCGTTTTGAGCGGCTACACACGCTGTTTGCGAGGAGCAGGGACAAAAGCAGCAGCAAAACAATGATGCCCGTGTGCGTGTTTTTCTTCTGTTCGCGCGTAATGAAGTCCACGGCCGCTTGATGGCGCTATTGAGCCGCGTAGCTTTAGGGGTTCCCCTTTGAAAATCACCCCATCCCTTCTGTGCTGTTCTTCCCCGCCTGTCTGCCTCTCTCTGCTTCACAACACTGTACTGTACTCGTAGTGGCAGGCAGAGGCAGCCAACAACACGAGTGCGCTCCTTCAGTTTCTGCTCTGTGCATAAACTCACCATTTATCCTCAATCATGGCCGCCGGACTACTACACATCTAACTTGCGTCTTTCCATCTCCTGTCCCCCTCGAGGGCAGGATCCCGTTTAAGGAAATACAAATATTATTCCCCTCGGAGATTTTCGGATTTCCTTTTGGAATTACAATACATTTCACCAGGGAAATACCATTCATGTCAATACTCCACAATGCAGCCGCCGCCGAGGAAGGTGAGTGTGGAGCCCGTTATCTTTAGCTGGGCTCGATCACAATGACAGACACTGAATAAAGATGCGATTTTACAAGCAATGAGCCGTGCAACAATATAGAAATGCTTTGTAATGAATTCAATAAACAGATTCAATTGCTAGCAGACATTAGCTAACGTTTGCTAGCTAGGTTAGTTTGTAACCTAGTGACATTAATATGCATCTGTCCAGCCGTCAGATGTCAAATAATGTTACTAGCTAAAATTGCTATCCAGACTAACATGTGCGGACAACAAAGATGCTAAACTATAATAATTACTCGTAGTTTTTTTGTTGAAGTCGGTTATAATGGGATTACTTTAACAATAAAACACCCCACTGTAATTAATTTTCGAACTAACAACCTCTATGTTAGCACCGGGGGTAGCTAGCCGGATAAAAATAGCAGTAATTTCCACACTTGATACTGGTGAATTATAACGTGATTACTGAAGCTTTTGTGACACGCAGCATCTACAGTGAACGTCATAACAAAAGCTTTCGTTTCGTTTCTCCACGCTGTTTTGAAAAGAAGACCTTCAGTGTGCCTGGGGTCACACGTTTTATGGTTTTATCCAAGGATGTGCTGACAAAAGCTAATACGCGCAAACATACGGATACATGATGGGAGGATGTGGCTTGACTGATTCCATAGGAGATGTTATTATGCATAGCTAAAAACAACATCTTGAGGTTGTCTGCTGTTTCTCTACGTATGTGGGAGTGTACACTTTTCAATTAGACCGTGGAGACTTGTCTGTGAACCTCTGCGTGGTGCCCTCCTTCCAATTAACACATATTCCCCTGGTGCCATTTTAGCTCAAGGATGTTACAGGCAGACTTAGCCGGAACCCAGAACATGCCATATCATGTCTTTTATTTACGCACAGGCTTGCACACGTACTCACCTAGACACCTCCAAGAGCTACCAAGACTTTGCCAATGTTTCACTAGAAGGGATCATAGTGTTAGGTTTCATTTTGCCATAAATCAAATTCTGTTCATCTCTTAAGAGGTTATAATGTGAGTAGGTTTCACTTTGCCAGTTTGGTTGGCACATATCTTCACTATCACTGCCAGACCTGGATTGGCTGTTGAGGAAAAACATAATCTATCATACTCTTGTTTTGTAATTCTCAGTTCTATTTCCCCTAAAATGTACAGGCCCACACCTTCTACAGTCCTCATTACCACACTCAATCACTTTAGTCTATTCACAAGTAGCCTACTCCCTCGAAGTGAGTGAAACTTTTAACTCAAATGCCAAACTCTCTAGCAGCAGGAGTTGAATGAAATTGGGCCAAAAGCTAGTTAAAATAAACCCATCTAATACTTGATTTCAGGATGTTAGGGTGTGCTCACATTCCTCCTTGTAGGACTAAATTCGGAACTAAACATAAACCAGGACAGGAGCATCTCTAGTAGATCTTTAGTCTTATCTCATTAGGTTTACAGACAATTTATAAAAGACACTGTTTACTCTTGTGTTGTTATGCTGTTATTTATTTGTCCCGAACTGTCATGAATTTGCCCACTGTTTGTTGGTGAATGGCCAATGGAATCCACTCCACAATAGACAATGACCTTCACTGACTCTGAATGTTTTGGCTCTAGAAGCACTGAATGTGTGGATGCTAATTTTAGGATTCCTATTGCCCGAAACGGTAATAAATTCTTATAATCTTTGCCGTATTTTCATCACAGGACACTGCTGGCTAGTCTTCCTTCACCTGTAACTGCCAATAGCTCATTCCCCCACACTACAGTCCGACCAAGCCCTGACACTGATTGTTCCATCGATGGATTACTAATGGATGTGTAGATCTATGTGTGTGCTCCCTTTTAGCTCGTCCTCACAAGCTGGGCCCAGTCAGGAAGTCAGGCGCCTGATAGATTTACCATCAACACTTTGAAATTTTATTTGTGTTGCTTTTGAGATAGCCCTATATACAGGAATAGTCTGACTTAAGCATATTTTTAAGCACAAGTAGAAGCTTTTGGAGAGCAGGGATTCGCACCTGTCTTCTAATATGCCAGTAGAGATAGCATACTTTGTCTTTATTGCCATTTTAAAGAAATTCAGTTCAGTTATGACAAAAATAGATAGTGACTTCATGTTTTTTCCTAAGCCATGGTAAAGATTTAAAAACACTCGCTTTCCCAGTGTTGTGTGACCTTAATTTGTAATTCAGTTAAAATGTGACTGTAATCTTTTTCTGCAAGATTGTTTTATAATTCATGTGGTCCCAGTGATTGTTTGCTGAACATGACCTGTTGTGTGCAGGTCAAAGTGACCCAGGAGCTGAAGAACACCCACACGGAGCAGATGACAAGACTGCACTTTAAGCACCAGACTGAATGTGACCTGCTGGAAGACATGAGGTAACCACACGTTCACAGCCCCACGCCTAAAAAAGCAACAATTAACACGAAGGCTTTGGAACGCGTGAGAAAGAAAAAAAAATCATGTGGCGCTTATGAATTTTTTTTAGAAGAACAAACGGGTTGGGAAAATGACGAAGGAATTTCCTGCTGCCTTCTTCCTGCTGTAAATCTTTTTCATCTCCCTCTCATACTCTGTCTGCATCCCTCTCTCCATCAGTCATACTTTCTATTGCTTTTAAACATCTCTGTGTGCACTTCAGCAATGGGAGGAAACCCTGGTGGCTTCTCACATACTCATTTTGTATCTGTTGACTAAGCGTTGATTATTTATGACAGCAAAACCCCCTCTGCTCCTCTGCTTCCATTTCACTTTTTTCATTTTCAACTCTATCTATCTCCATCTCTTGCTCTATCCCCTCTTCACTGCTGGGGGCCGCTCCAGCTGTTTAAAAGCAGATTGCCTTGATGCTTCGGGTTTTGGCGCACAGACAAGACTCTGGTCACACTTGTGGGAGGAAGGGAGAGTCAGTATAATATGCAACCTTCTTTTAGTCATTGGGGCTTGCAGTTAAATGGCACTTAGTTAGACTTTGAAAATGCACTGTAATCATATTTTTCTCATGCCACATATTGGTGCTGTAATGTTTATTATAATAGGGTGACTTCATTATGGAGGTCTAGTCTTATACAGGGTGTCCTTCAGCAAGCGACTGTGCCAACATTTTCAGTGGTTGTTGGCACTGGTTGTTGGCTCTACTTTTTCTCATTAAGTTGCCTTAATATAATCAATTTGAAACAAAATACTTTGGTTGTATTGTACAGGTCTGCTTATTTTGATAATGTGGAACACTTTCAGGTGTGTGAACCATTCTAACTTTTTGCTCAGTTTTTAAAAGAGGAGGTAGTTTACTTCTATAGGGTATAAACTGATAACACATAACATATTAAGGTCACCATGTTATCCTTTATTGTTTTGAAAATACCGGGAGAAACAGCTGAATTACTGAAACTTGCATGGACGATATCTAAA